CAGATTCAGGAGAAACCACAGAACCACACAACCCCTAAACCTTTTAATCTGATACTGATACTAAATAGCCTAAGGCAAGGCTTTTTAAAAAAATTCATTTATAGGATGTTTTAAAAGGACCAAAGTAATACATACTTTTGTAACACATTTGAACAATACCTAAGTAAATGAGGTAAGAAATAAAAGTGTCTCAAAAAAAAAAAAAAAGAAATAAAAGTGTCTCTGTTCATAGCCATCGTGCCTTCTGCTCCCCCCACCCCCCAACTTATTAACAATTTGGTGTGTATCCTTCTAGACTTATACTGTGTTCATACAAACTTACATATGTATATACATATGTACATGCATATTATATACATACATATATATTACACAGTCTTTTGTTTTTTACAAAAATGGGATCATACTGCGGCTCTTTCTGGTAACTGAATTTTTCAATAATTATATTACTTTTGACCCTTTACACGGGTTTGAAATGTGTGGATCTTATGCATGGATTCTTTTTGATAATTACAGTATAGTACTGTAAATGTATTTTCCTTATGATTTTCTTGTGATTTTTATTATTGAAGTGTAGCTGACAGTGTTATATTAGTTTCAGATGTACAGCATATTGATTGAACAATTCTGTGCATTGTTCAGTGCTTACCACAGTAAATGTAGTCATCATCTGTCACCATACAATATTATTATATTATTATAATATTATTTACTGTCTTCCCTATGCTCTACTTTTCATCTCTGTGACTTATTTTATAACTGAAAGTTTGTGCCTCTTAATCCCCTTTATTTTGCCTATCCCCACACTGCTTTGCCCTCTGCCAACCACTACTATGTTTTCTATATTGAAGAGCCGTTTGTTTGTTTGTTCTGTTTTTTAGATTCCACATAAAAGTGAAATCATATGGTATTTGTCTTTATCTGATTTCTTTCACTTAGCATAATGTCCTCTAGGTACATCCATGTTGTTACAAATGGAAAGCTCTCATTCTTTTTTATGGCTGAGTAATATTCCATTGTATGTATATACTATGTTTTCTTTATCCATTCATCTATGGATGGACACTTAGGTTGCTTCCATATCTTGGCTATTGTAAATAATGCTGCCATTAACATAGCGGTGCATGTATCCCTTTGAATTAGCACTTTTGTATTCTTTGGGTAAATACCCAGTAGTGCGATTGCTAGATCATGTGTTAGTTCTATTTTTAACTTTTTGAGGAACCCCTATACTGTTTTCCATTGTGGCTGCACCGGTTTGCATTCCCACCAACAGTGCAAGAGGAAGGTTCCTTTTTCTCCACATCCTCGTTAACACTTGTTTCTTGTGTTTTTGATTTTAGCCATTCTGACAGGTGTGAGGTGATATCTCATTGTAGTTTTAATTTGCATTTCCCTGATAATGAGTGCTGATAAGCATTTTTCATGTTATTTAACTTCCATGTATTTGTGGTCTTTCCAGATTTTTTTCTTGTGGTTGACTCCTAGTTTCATAGCATTGTGGTCAGAAAAGATGCATGGTATGACTTCGATCTTTTTGGACTTGTTGATGCTTGTTTTGTGGCCTAATATGGGATCTATTCTGGAGAATGTTCTGTGTGCACTTGGAAAGAATGTGTATTCTGCTCTTTTAGGATGGAATGTTCCAAATATATCTGTTAAGTCTATCTGATCCAGTGTGTCATTCAAATCCATTGTTTCCTTGATGATTTTCTGTTTAGATGATCTGTCCATTGATGTAAGTGGGGTGTAAAAGTCCCCTACTATAATTGTATTGTTATTGATTAGTTCATGTTTGTTAATGACTTTTATGTATATGGGTGCATAAATATTTACACTTGTCATATCATGTTGGGCTGTTCCCTTTATCATGATGTAGTGTCCTTCTTTGTCTCGTTAAGTCTTTGTTTTAAAAGTCTGTTTTATCCAATATAAGTACTGCTACTCCAACTTTCTTTTGACATCCATTTGCATGATAAGTGTTTCTCCATCCTTTCACTTTCAATCTACTGTTGTCTTTAAGTCTAAAATGTGCCTCTTCTAGGTAGTATATAGATGGGTCTTGCTTTTTTATCCATTCTGTAACTGTCTTTTGATTGGAGCGTTCAGTCCATTTACATTCAAAGTAATTATTGGATAGATATGTATTATTGCCATTTTATTGTTTTGTGGTTCTTTCTGAAGATTTTCTCTGATCCTTTCTTGTCTTTCATTGTTTGCTGGTTTTCTTTAGTGATATATTTGGGTTTTTCTCTTTATTCTTTGCATATCTGTTAGGGGTTTTTGATTTGTGGTTATTATCAGGTATATAACATCTGCATATAGTCTATGTTAAGTTGATGGTTGTTTAAGTTTATCATTCTTTACTCCTTTCGTCCCCATGTTTTAGGTATATGATGTCATATTTTACATCCTTTTATTTTGTGTGTTCCTTGACTGATGTTTTTTACAGAAATACTCATTTTTACTGCTTTTGTGTTTCCTACTTTCATACTATCATTTTTGGTCTTTCCTTTCCACTCAGAGAGTCCCCTTTAATATTTCTTGCAAGGCAAGTTTAATAGTAATGAACTCCTTTAGTTTTTGTTTGGGAAACACCCAGAATAGGGTGATAGTCTTTCTGGGATAGAGTATTCTTGGCTGCAGGTTTTTCCCATTAGGCACTTTGAATATATCATGCCACTCTCCTCTGGCTTGAAAAGTTTCTGCTGAAAAATCCCAATAGCCTTATGGGGTTTCCTTTGTAGTGTAACTGTCTTTTGTCTTGCTGCTTTTAATATTTTTTTCTTTATTACTATATTACTAATTACTATATATCACAATATATTTTAAATACAATATGTCTTGGGGTGGACCTTCTTTGGTGATTTTGTTGGGGGTTCTCTCTGCCTCCTGGATCTGGATTTCTGTTTCCTTCCCCAGATTAGGGAAGTTTTCAGCTATTATTTCTTCAAATAAATTCTCTGCCCCCTTTTCCTCTCTTCTACTTCTGGGAACCCTATAATACGAAGGTTATGTTTGATGGAGTCACTGAGTTCCCTGTTTTTGTTTTGCATAATTCTTTTTTCTCTCTTTTGTTCAGCTTGATTACTTTCCATTGCTCTGTCTTCTAGGTCATTAATTCGTTCCTCTGGTTCTTCCATCTTGCTATTCATTCCATCAATCATGTTTCTCGTTTTTTGAGCTCTTTATCTGTGTTGTTATTCCTTATCTCTATGGCAGTGGCCTCACTGATGTCCTCTACTCTTTTCTCAAGTCCAGTGAGTATCCTTATGATCATTGCTTTAATTTTTCCATCAGGCATGTTACTTATATCTGTTTTGCTTAGATCTCCCACTGTGGCCTTGTTTTGTTCTTTCATTTGGGACAAATTCCTTTGTCTTCTCCTTTGGTGTGAGTCTCTGTGCCTGTTCCTCTGTGTTAGGAAAGTCAGCTGCATCTCCTGTTCTTGTGGGTAATGGCTTTATGAAGAGGTCCTGTAGTGCCCTGCTGTATACTGTCCCTATTCCCCAGGGCTTGGTGCTTCTAGGATTGTCTCTGGTGTGTGCTGCATGTGACCTGCTGTTCTGCACCAGCCGCTTTATCCTTCAGGCCAGTTGTCTGCAGAGATTCTCTTTGCCTGTTGTGGGCAGCATTTGGTCCCTGCCTGAATGTGGCACATTTTAACTAGATGTGCTCTGATCTGCTTGTGAAATGATACCTGTCACCACTACCACTGGAACTGAGGCCTTGCAAAACACCCGTGTTGGGAGACTTGGTATTGGCAGGGATTTGGGCTGGTCTTCTGGGGGAGGGGTTCTGCTCTGCTGGGATTGAGGCAAGTATGACAGGGAAGGGTGGATCTGCCAGAGTGTGGAGGGGCAGGGCTTGGTGTAAGCAAGTTAGGTAGTGAGTGTTGGCCCTGTACTTACGCTGAGAGGCAGAGGAGGGAAATTGCACCTACCAGTTCCTTTGTTCCTTGAGAGGTTTCTCTCTGAATGCTGCTGCTTTGGGTCATACTCCAAGATGAGCAACTAACCTCCCCATATGTGCCCCAGGCACTCCTCAGATTGCTGTTTCCATGCTGTATGTCCACAGACTCTTTGCTTGCTTTTTCTCCAAGAGCAGCCCCAAAGACTGCTGAGGTCTCCCACAGCCAAGTACATTGAGCTTTAAAACTCCGGGCTTATCAGGGAAATCCAAATCAAAACCACGTTGAGATACCACCTTACATCAGTTAGAATGGCAAAAATGGACAGGGAAAGAAACAACAAATGTTGGCAAGATTGTGGAGAAAGGGGAACCCTCTTACACTGTTGGTGGGAATGC